ATAATAATAATAATAATAATAATAATAATTGGTAATATTATTGTTCAATATAATATTTTTTAAAAAAAAAAAACTTATTTTAATTGGTAATGTATATTCTATATTAATTTATATTTATATTCTATATTAATTAATAAAAACAAATCATCCTTTACAAGCTCCCGCCTAAACAATTAATAATAATATGAAAAAAATGAAAAAGAATGGAAGGAAGTCGTACCCCCAAACAATTAATAATAATATTGGAAAGAAAATTAATAATAATATGTAAATATGGAAAATAATGGAAGGAAATATTATTCATGTGAATGTTTTCTACACTCTGAAAAATGAAAAAGAATCAATAAGCAGTATAAGGAAAATAATCATTTCTATAATAATAATAATAATAATAATAATAATAATAATAATAATCATCATCATCATCATCAATCATCATCATCATCATCATCAATCATCATCATCATCATCATCATCAATCATCATCATCATCATCATCATCATCATCATCATCATCAATCATCATCATCATCATCATCATCATCATCATCATCATCATCATCATCATCATCATCATCATCATCATCATCATCATCATCATCATCATCATCATCATCATCATCATCATCATCATCATCATCATCATCATCATCATCATCATCATCATCATCATCATCATCATCATCATCATCATCATCATCATCATCATCATCATCATCATCATCATCATCATCATCATCATCATCATCATCATCATCATCATCATCATCATCATCATCATCAATCATCATCATCATCATCATCATCATCATCATCATCATCATCATCATCATCATCATCATCATCATCATCATCATCATCATCATCATCATCATCATCATCATCATCATCATCATCATCATCATCATCATCATCATCATCATCATCATCATCATCATCATCATCATCATCATCATCATCATCATCATCATCAATCATCATCATCATCATCATCATCATCATCATCATCATCATCATCATCATCATCATCATCATCATCATCATCATCATCATCATCATCATCATCATCATCATCATCATCATCATCATCATCATCATCATCATCATCATCATCATCATCATCATCATCATCATCATCATCATCATCATCATCATCATCATCATCATCATCATCATCATCATCATCATCATCATCATCATCATCATCATCATCATCATCATCATCATCATCATCATCATCATCATAATCATCATCATCATCATCATCATCATCATCATCATCATCATCATCATCATCATCCAAACAAAACGATATACAAAATAAAAATAAAATTAAAAAAAAAAAAACAAAAAAAAAAACAAAAAGGAGCCACAGGCTCCCCTTTGTAAATGATGTTGGATCATTCTGATCCCACATTGAAAATGTTTGGAAAAGGAGCTCTTGAGCTCCTCTATATAAGAGGAGCAATGCACTTCTTACAAATATAATTGTTTGTCCATCAATGTGGACAAGTATTGAGAAGTCCAAAGGCAAATATTTTATTTTTTTGAGAGAGCTGAAGGTTCTTCTGGAGATCGTCGATCACGGTCAACAAACGGTCAAATAGATGGAGGATTAAATCGTGTCAAAATTGCAAAGTTAAGGACTTAATTGGTTGAAATTGAAAATCAAGGACCAATTTGTGAATTTAGCTATAGTCAAGGGACCATTTTGGGTATTTACTCTCTCTCTCTCTCTCTATATATATATATATATATATATATATATATATATATATATAAAATAATTTAAACTTCATTGTAAGAAGCGGCTTCTTTAAATAAAGAAGCCTCAGGCTTCTCTTCTCTTGCCCATCTGATGTAGGGATGGCAATTTCAATCCGCCCCGCATGAATTAGGTTTTTTTGGGTGATGGTGGGTGGTGGGTCTTAAAAAAGTAAATTCGCAGTGGGTTGGGTTGGATTTGGGTTCTATGTACAAAATTCGCCTAGAACCCCACCCGACCGACCATGTGTGTGTGTATATATAATATATAGTAAAATAAGTACTAGTATGTACTTTCAAAAAAAAAAAAAAAGTACTAGTATGTAGTTATTTATAAAAGTTTATATAACATGGCGTAACTTTTTATTATTTTTATATCAAAACTACTAAGATTATTTTTTAAAATTTATAATTTAGTTATTATATTTAAATATTTCTATTATTTTATGTTTTAGTATCACTAATAAATTTTATTATTGTATTATGTGTAAGTAATTTAAATATTATTTTTTGAAAAAATAAATAACAAAATGATAAGTGGTGGGTATCCGTAGTGGGCACTCGCACCGATGGGGGTAGGGGTGGCACTCGCACCGATGGGGGTAGGGTTGAGTTTTGAAAAAGTCCACCTGATGCAGGTTGGAGGTGAGGGTGAGTGGAGAAAATATAAGGTGGGTCGGGTGATGGATGTAGCCCTCCCGACCCATTGCCTTCCCTAATCCGATGTGGGTTGGGCAAGAGAAACTGATTGGCGTTGAGCTCCCTTTTATAAGGGAGCTCAACGCTATTTATTTTCTAAACTTCCGCATCATTTTTTTTCTTATTATAATAATAATAATAATAATAATAATAATAATTATTATTATTATTATTATTATTATTATTATACCCTTTTGGTCATTTTACATGTTAACCGCTAATCTAAACAGTTAATTTTATCAAACTTTTTTATAAACCGTTTGATACAATTTGCTGGTCAAACCCGCTAATATAATCCGCTAACGCTAACCTCTAACCACTGATTGCCAAACAAAGTCGAAATATTAGATAAGATATATAGAAATATAGGATTGGTTTGGTAAACAATGATTTGACTAGTTTTTAGCGATTTTGACTATTTCAATGTTTTGGCTTATCCAAAACGTTAAAATTCCGTTTAGAAAAATAGTTGGTGTGATATATATGAATTATATTATCATACCAAAACACTGAAAAACAACTTCAAAATAAAATTTTAAAAAATTTATTTTGTTTTTGTGGGATAGATGGCATGAGAGCCATCCCATAATATATATAATACATCAAAATGGGAGAGCATTCCCCCTATCTATAGAGGGGAGTGCTCTCCATTTGTGGTTGCTAGCCAATGTTCCAAAAAATCTGGGTTTGTTTGTTTGTTTTTGTTTTTGTTTTTTTCTTAAATTTTTAAATTATCAAAAATGATATTTATATTTCTTATTATATAATAAATAAGTTATTATTAAAAATATATTATCTTTTTAGATTTTTTACCTATAACGATACCGTTAATAATAAATACTCGTCTTACTAAATATATATTTTTTAATAAACAACTAATATATATAATCCGGTAGTCAAAATTATTATTCACTTCAAACTTTACACAGTTACACCTACAGTAAAGTCTTTCAATTTATTTTAAATTAATTAACCAATTAAGTTATACCCACCACCGGATATTATTGAATTTTCGACCACCTGAAAGTGATCTTAAATCAAGTCGAAAGTAAAAAGTGACCGGAAATAGCAACAAGGGTTTTTCCAAATACCAAAAATGATCGGAACAAAACTTTTAACTTGATTTAAGATCACTTTCAGGTGATCGGAAATTTCAGAATTTCCAGTATTGACCCATAACAATGTAATCTATATTAGTCATGGGCCGTGGTCGTTACTCATTCCAAGTCATTATGAGTGGTTGGAAAAATGAATGTGATCCCTGTTCTCAGTCAATTGGATGGGGGTAATAATTGTCTGTTTCTTCTTCTGTTACTGTTATAAGACGTGAACTTGACGCTGGGGTGCAAGACTTTGCTGGTTAAGTCTACTACACCATCATGAGTCAAACACCAAAATCAATGTTTTTAACCAATCTTAATAGTAATATAATATAATTAAACTTATTATTCCCATATAATATATACGTGTACTGCATGCATGCATGCACGTACTTCTTGATTATATCACTTTCGTTCAACGGATCCAGAATTTTAAGTACCATTAAATCTTATTTAATCAAAGAGTTTTCACGACACTTATTCTTCATTCACATGGTACTAATTAAATTTAGATGGTGCATTTAAAATTATTTAACAATAATACATATACACCCTAAAATTAATTGTTAGTATTCTCTATATACATATATCCAATGATCTAAATTTACAATCACTGATATAATATTGGTATGAAGATGAGAGTAGTGCGTTAATTATTGCGTTATAATTTCAAGAGTTCCACTTGTAAAACTGGGGACCAGACCATATATAGGCAGAAATTCTTGAGTCCTTAGCATTGCGTAGAACCATGCTCCCATGTCCTAAAAAGATAAGGTTGTTGACCCATTCTACAAACTCACACACCAATGGCTAATTTTATACAAAAAGTTAATTAGACTAATTAAACTTTTAAAAGTTGTCATTAAGTACATCAATATGTCACTTTAGTTCATCAAATTTCAAAAATTAGTTAGTAACCTGTAATAGTATGTCATTAGGATTCTAATAATCTTCCAATTAGTTCTAGGGATAAAAATCGACCACCGACGATCGGTAAACTATCGCCGGTTGCCTTCGACAGTCGCCCTTCTTCCCCAAAGGAGGCGATTATTGGTCGCCTTCTTCGTTTGAGGAAGAAGGTGACTGGCGGTACGTTGCCTCCTTCGTCAGTGAAGAAGGCAATCATTGGTAGCATTCTTTAATGACAAAAGCACGTCGGTTGCCGATTTTATTTTCGAAGCTAATCTGAATATTTCCAGAACCCTAATGACGGACTATTACTAGTCAGTAATCAATTTTTTCGATGCACTAAAATAACATGTTGATATACTTAATTGCAACTTTTAAAAGTTTAGGCCTATAATAAACCTTTTTCCATAAAGGTGATCATCTTAGCTATCTTTTCTCCTTTTTGTTTTTTTTTTTCGTAATTTTTAGTCCTTACACAAACTAAATTAAGCCTTTGCCTATATAAGAAACCATTCTCCCAACACGTAACGTAAGTAAGCAACTAAGTACTCGATCACTCTATTAACATTAACCTTCATGTCTGCCTACTACGACCATGGGCGGCGGCGCCGCCGCCTCTGGGCTAGCCTCTGGTGCTTCATAATTCTCATCCTCATCATCGTCTTCCTCGTTTGGCTCATCCTCCGCCCCACCAAGCCCCAGTTCATCCTCCAAGACGCCACCGTCTACAACTTCAACCTCACCGGCGGCGACGCCGCCGCCGCCGCCACCGGCCTCAACCTCCTGACCACCACCATCCAGGTCTCCCTCGCCTCCCGCAACCCCAACAAGCGCATCGGCATCTACTACGACCGCGTCGACGTCTACGCCACCTACCGCGGCCAGCAGATCACCCCCGCCACTCTCCTCCCCGCCTCCTACCAAGGCCACAAAGAAGTCACCGTTTGGTCGCCGTTCGTCAACGGCAACGCCGTCCCGGTGGCGCCCTACCTGGGAGTGGAGATCGGCCAAGACCAGAACGCCGGCAGGGTGTTGATCAACATCAGAGTGGATGGACGGATCAGATGGAAAGTTGGGACGTTCATCTCCGGGAGGTATCGTTTGAATGCAAACTGCCCTGCTTATTTGAGCTTCGGAGGAGGGCAATATAGTCAAAACAGCATTTTAGTCGGGTCAACTGCTAAGTATCAATTGGTGCAACAATGTTACGTTGATGTTTAATTTTCTTTATTTTGAAGTTATACTATTACATCACGTTTGGTTCACGGAATGAATTTTGAGGTAATAGGAATGCTATTCCATAAAGAATGGAATAGGCAAGGAATAGAATAGAAATTGTATTCTATTGTTTGGTTCGCGGAAGGAATAGACTTTAGGAATTATATTACAGCGTTTGGTTGATTTAAGGAATAGAAATGAAATATGTTTTAAAAGACATAAATACCCTTATAAAAATATGTGATGATGGCGATGGTGGTGGTGGCGGCGGCGACGGTTGTGGTGGTGGTGGTGGTAGTGGCGGTGCTGCTGGGTGGTGGTTCTGGTGGCGGTGGCGGTGGCGGCGATGGTGGTGGCGGTGGCGATGGTGGTGCTGGGGTAGTAGTGGTGGTGGTGGCGGTGGCAGTGGTGGGAGTGGCGACGGTTGTGGCGTTGGTGGTGGCGGCGGCGATGGTTGTGGTGTCGACGGCGGCGGTGATGGTGGTGGTGGCGACGACGGTGGTGAAATAGGATAAATTTATATATAGGATAAAAAAAATCGGTTAAAGAAAAGAGGTAAAAAAGAAAATAGATTCTAAAATCTATTCCTGAGGTAATAGGCTAATACCAGGGGGGGCCCTAGTAATAGCTATTACCTTATTTGAGGTAATAGGCTATTACCAGGAATACTATTCCTGGTAATAAAAATGGTTACCAAACAAAGGAATAGGCCTATTACTGGGAATACTATGCCATTCCCGGCCTATTCCGTGAACCAAACGGGCCATTAGTCTCTTTGAGGTTTTTTATTGGGAAATTACAATGCCATATGTTTTTGTTGTTTTGTAAGGTGTAGGGAATTATTATTTTCAAAATTTCAGACATGTTAATAACACGGATAATCCAAATTAAAGTGTGCTTAATACATTTTTTTAAAAATTGATTCTCTTTATCCAAATGGTGGTAGGAGCATTAAAACGTCCATTCTCTATGATACAATGGATTAACAACATAAATATTTGAGGCACTCAAATATAAACGTTCTTGGCAAACTAGAACAACAGTACAAAATAATTTAAACACTTCAAATTTTTAGAGAAGTGCTTGCAAAATTTTTGAGAGAGCATCAGAGCAGAGAGAGAGTTTGTAGGAGAGAAAATTAGAGTTTTTTTTTTTTTTTTTTTTTTTTTTTTTTTTTTTTTTTTTGGGTAAAACATTAATAACTTGTATAACTAGCAAATTAAAAGAGAAGTATGCAATGCTACACATGAGAGAGTGATCTATACTACACAATTTGTAAACTTTTTAAAAGTTGAATTGTATTTATTGTCAGAAAAATTAGCTAAGTTGACATTTAAAGTAGCCATTTTATGAGTCCACTTTTGATTTGGATCGTGTCAAAATATATTAATTTAGACTATCTTAAGTGAGATGATGAATTTGATATATTATATGTTTAAAATGGATAATAGGTGAATGAAATTAAAGATTGATTCTCAAAGTGTGACGTGAGTTTGCAGACACTAGTATGTAAATCGGTTTTAAGGAAAGAATGAGATTAGAATTACTTTTTTTGTTCCGGAAAAATATTATTTTAGAATTTTGTATGAAAATTTCCCAACATTTATACTAGTGCAAACTCACATGCTTTTTCAATGTGGACCAAATGCTACTTAAAAGCATTCACAAACTCTATTTTATCAACTTTAATTTAATGAGTACATTTTGATAATCAATTGTTCATTCACCCATTATCTATTTTGAGTGTGTAATATATCAAATATATCTTCAACTAGGAAAATTAAAATTTATATTGACCCAACCCAAATTTGAAGTGAGCCCTACACAAATTAATACATTAAAATGATTTTCTTAAAATGCTAATTATTTCAACCAATCCCTCAGCTCACATGAACAAAAATTAATTTTCAGGACTAGAAAAAATGACAAAATAGTGTTCAATGGTTTATCCTAAGTAGGTGTGACCCTTTAAATCTTCCATTGTAAAGATATTTTTAGTTACTGGTTATCCAATAAAATGCGATGTATTTGAGCTATAATGTCATTTGTGTAAACGATGATATATTTTACATAGTAATCTCCAACCTTTATTCCATTCTCATGGGTGATGTGCATATATATTTTGGCCATGGAATACCTTGATTCTGCGAGAGTTTTTAAAAAATTGAGTCCATGCAATTTTCCTTTAAAGCAAGCCTACTTCTCTCTTATATAGATTATTCTTTTACCGAGTAACATGCTCAATCAAACACTTTAGAATCATTAAAACATGCATACATACTAACCTCCTGCGGAAGATTATTTCAATTAGGAGTGGGTAAGAGTTCAAGACCCCACAGTGACCATATATCTTTCTATAATTTAGTTATGCCTATTGAACCTAGGCCCCAATTAGATTAGGTATCTACTATAGAACTTTATTACAAGGGCTTTAGTCTTATTCCTCGTGACAACTTCTCTATCAATAATTCTCTATTAATTAACCAGTTGGTTAGCGGATTCGCTATGTTATCTTTTAACTTCGCAGTCAACCGAGATAATAACTCTCGTTGTGAGAAGATGTTTAGTGGTACTATGTCTATGATGCATATGCCTAGACTTACTATTACACATATTACTCCGTACCATGCATTCCAATGGCAACTTGACTATCATAATGTGCAAATTGGAGAAACATGTTTTTTCCAACTAGAAATATCCTCTAGAAAATGACATAGTCATTAAACATCTTCAATACGCTTGTTTAAGACTATCAGCTTAGATTCTGTATGGACCTAGCTATCATGATTTTTTTTTTTGAATATTTCCATGATATAGATGCATCAATTAATGCGCACACGTAACTACTCGTGAACTTGAATCCTCAATATCCGGCATCCAATTAGCATCACTATACCCTTAAAGTATAGTTAGGTTGGATATCTTGTATAATGTAGTCCTAGGTCACAAGTATACCTTAACTCTTAAGTATCTCATCACCTTCATTATTATTGTCTTCTAGTGGTCATCATCATCACTAGAATGACTAGTATATCTACTAAGTTTACTAACTGCAAAAGCAATATCCGACCTAGTGTATTCTACTTGAAAAATACAATATCTCTAATTTTTGAATAGATGTAAGTTAGTATCTAATGACATCCTAGCCAATTTATTGTCATTCTTGTTAAATTTCTTAAGAATATTATCAATATAATAAGATTAGCTTAACATATGGTCATGCGGTCTTCTAAGAATTTTAATCTTAATAATAACTAAATCCGTATCTTTCATATATGTCAAATTACAAATTTAAAATATTTTTAATATATTTAATCATTTAATAGTTACTATCATTGATAAGTATATCATCTTAAGTATAAACATAGAATGACATAATAATTTATCATGTTATTAACTTAGACACAATTGTCACTTAGAAGCATGTCCCCATGTCCTATATATAAGGAGAAATTCTCGAGTCTTTAACCTTGCGTAGAAGCATGCTCCCATGTTCTAAAAATATAAGGTCGATGCCTCATTCTACAAACTTACACACCAACACATTATGTTCACTCCATTACACATAACTTCCTTATATATACCTAGCCCACTTGACTTCTTTTTATTATTGAAAAAGTATATAGCTAGCTTACTACTTTGCATTAAACTATATATATTTGTATGACCAAGTTAAGCCCTTCTAAAAATTCAAGATTGCTTAGTTGGGAAGTATTATATGTAAAATTTTCATGATGATTGAACACATGTATATACGTAGAATTAGTTAGCCATCTCTCGTTTTGTTTTTCCCAATTTTTAGTCCTTCCATAAACTACAATAAAATTTAATTTTGACAAATCTTTATCTCGTCTCAAATACTGTCCACTGAATCAGTGAATTAATAAGTCCCGGGGGACAAAACTTTTTCTATATAAGAAACTAAACTCCCAGGCCAACACGTAACGTAGGCACTCACACTATTAACATCTTGGGATCTCTTTCTCCGATCCCATCCTCCCAAAAGCAACTAACCTCCGGCGTCATGTCGGCCAAGGATTGTGCCCACCACCACCGTGAGCGGCGGAAGTTGTACCACCGCCTCTTCCTTGCCCTCTTATGCTCCATAATTCTCATCCTCTTCATCGTCTTCCTCATCTGGCTCATCCTCCGCCCCACCAAGCCCCGCTTCATCCTCCAAGACGCCACCGTCTACAACTTCAACGTCACCGGCGCCGCCGCCACCGGGCTCAACCTCCTGACCACCACCATCCAGGTCACCCTGGCCTCCCGCAACCCCAACGAACGCATCGGCATCTACTACGACCGCCTCGACGTCTACGCCACCTACAGGGGCCAGCAGATCACCCTCCCCACTCTCCTCCCCGCCTCCTACCAAGGCCACAAAGACGTCACCATTTGGTCGCCGTTCCTCAACGGCAACACCGTCCCGGTGGCGCCCTACCTGGGGCTGGAGATCAGCCAAGACCAGAACGCCGGCAGGGTGTTGATCAACATCAGAGTGGATGGACGGATCAGATGGAAAGTTGGGACGTTCATCTCCGGGAGGTATCGTTTGGATGCAAACTGCCCTGCTTATTTGAGCTTCGGAGAGAATTATAGTCCCAACAGTATTTTAGTTGGCTCAACTGCAAAGTATCAATTGGTGCAAAATTGTCACGTTGATGTTTGACTGAGCTTAAGGTTATTGTTTTCTTTAATTTCAAATCATATATGCTATGATTCTCTTTAATTTGAGGTTCGTTTTTCATTAATTGGGAAATTAATTACAACACCATTTGTATGTTAGTTGAAAAAGATTAAAGTTTGAGTTAGGTTATTACTTTGGGCGAGACAAATCTCACCTAATTAATGTGCATTTGATGATTAGTTGTTGTCAAATTATCACGTAAATCAAAACACTTCATATCAAATGATATTTCTGCAAGAGATCAATAGATGTATAGTTGTATAGTATTAATTGTTTATGCTTTGATTACAAGAAAAAAAGTACAAAAGACACGGGTTAAAAATAATTGTTTTTTAGTGGGGTTTAATCTTTAATAACACTTTCTTCAATAACAGTATATTTTCCTTAAAATAACGATTTAAAACCGTTGTCGTCGGTCTTTAACAACTAACACATTTCTCAACATCAGTCTAAAGACAACGATGAGACATATAAGACAATGGTTTAAAATTGTTGTCTTTCAAGTAAGGTCTTTAACAACATAATTTTTTTCTTACATATAATAATTTTTTACCGTTGTGTATGTGCATTTCTCTTGTAGTGATTTGCTTGACTTTAATTACTTTGAGTTAGTTTTTAGTAGTGGAAAATATATTGATTTACCAACAATTAATCTAGTAGAGGGAAGTGTACAAAGGAGGAAAAGGCTGAAGAATCCAAGAAAAGCAAAAGTATATTCAAAGATGGGTTCTTTTCTTGCTTTTGTGCTTGTGAAATTGGTAAGTTATATGATTCCATATATATACTTGGAAGTATCATTAACTAATAATGTAACTTGTCATGCATCTTAACCTACAAGCTATCCTAGTAATTATTATGAGATGGAGAATTTGTGTAGAAGCAAAGAAACAGTTCATGATAGGAAAATGCTATGTGATTGTGATAAATCGTACAAGGGCTCCACACTAGCTTGTCCCACTCGTCCACAATCTACCTAAAAATTAAACCTTTTTCATGCTGCAGGTTGCTATTAAATTTTTTCTGCGACATTGTTTTTTTTTTTTTTAAAAAAAAATTTGAATCGGTTGGCTATAGGAAAATTGAATCATAAAATGAGATTTACCTGGTAGACACCTTTAAATAGTGACTACAAATTTTATTTTAAATAAACTTCAATCAAAATAATTAAAAAGAGACAATTATATATATCTTTTAACTATTTTAGTATTATAAAAAAATATATAAAACAAAATAAAATATGTAACTGACAATATATAGGAAATGAGCTATATTTAATTTATTTGTTAACGTGTTGTAAGTTTGCTTCGTAAAGCATAGGTTGGCTATAATTTCTGGTTTAAATTAAAAAGGTCAGCATATAGGGAATTTATCTTTGGAAATGACGCGAAAATTCACGGGAGAAAACTCAGAAATGCGAGTGGATAGGGAAATGACGCGGTTCCTCAGCTTTAGAATAACTTGGTTTACCTACTTCCACCCACCATGTGGAGTCATGTACATATGGTGTCAATTGTATGAACACTTAGAATGAATCTCAATGAAGCGAATATGGTAGAAATTAATTAATTAAGTTGATTTTGTCGATAATAATTACTTGTGTGTTCGTATTTATCGACTCAAGAAAAAAAAATTGAAGTTTCATGTTAGTTTGCTATAGGTTTCTTTTTATACATAAATTTTTTATTTTAAATACGTACTCATGATTCTGTACAATATAATATTTATTCTTTACAATATAGTATTTATTCTATATTTAGGCCTTGTTTGTTAAATAACTGTTAGCTGATTGGGTTAATTAGATGATATAGCTAGTTGATAACATTAACTGATTGTAGAAAAGTGTTTGATAAATTAGTTGTTAGCAGGTAGCTGTTTAATATAATTTCTTTTCTCAAAAAACTAATTGAAAAAGTTACTTTAAGTTAACATTTTGAAGTACAAAAAGTTAATTAACCAAACACTTATATTGATTTTTAAACCAAGTCAAACAACTAATAATGGTCAAATAAATCAAAATTGACCTATAGGCTATCTATTTTACCAAATAGGGCCTTAATCTTTTTCATCAACTCAAAGAATCAATGCTCCCACAACACCAAAATTCGATCTTATGATCATCCATGTAGTGTGATAACACCTCAATTTTATATTATAGGAATAAGGGTCAAATAGGCCATCGAACTGCACATGATAATACAATTAGGCCACTGAACTCAAAAAACCAACAATTGAGTCCCTAAACTTATCAATTCCTAACAATTCTTCCAATTTGAAGGTCTCCAACAAGTCAACAGGTCATCCTCCAAATTAATTATTTTTTAAAAAATAAAATTTAAAAATTAATTATTAAATTTTAAAAAAAAAAAAAAAACAGATCGGCTGAATTCTGTTTTTTTTAATTATTTAAATAATTAATTTTAAAATTTTATTTTTTAAAAAATAATTAATTTGGGAGGATGACCTGTTAACTTGTTGGAAACCTATAAATTGAAAGAATTGTTTGAAATTGGTTAGTTTAGGGACCTAATTGTTGGTTTTTTAGGTTCAGTGGCCTAATTACATTATCGTGTGCAGTTCGATGGCCTATTTGACCCTGATTCCTATATTATATATAAGCTTTAAAATGGTTCTCCCCTAATCTAATTGACCAACAAGATTGCAACTAATAACAAGTTGTGATAAACTGCGTATCTTTATTAATAGGAATAAGGTTCAAATTGGTCACTGAACGTAATCTGAAAATGCAATTAGGCCACTGAGCGAAAAGAAAAGTGCAATTAGACAACTAAACACTCCAAAAAAGTACAATTTCATCTGATAGCAAGTTACCATTCACTTCAGCAAGTTACCTGCTTACGTGAAAGCTAAGTTGACATTTTGTTTATCATTTTTAATAAATTTTAATAATAAATTTTTAAAAAATTAAAAAGATATTTTTTTTTTAAAAAAAAAAGAAGAAAAAGAGACGGGGTGGCCGCCGGCCACCCCCTTCCCCCTCCCCTCTCTTCCTTCGCTTCTGACGGAGACGAAGGAGGGGAGAAGGGGGTGGCGTGAGACGAAAGACCTGTCTTCGTCTCCGGTCGGAGACTAAAGGAGTTGATTAACATTGCTACGTTTTAGGGAATGATTTAGGACGAAAAATGGTAGCCTAGTGTGTAAGCACAACAATGAACCGCGTGCGTCGAACCCACTTACGAAATAAAATAATAAATTAAAAGGTAGAGATTGGAACGAATACTGGTCTAATGATATCAAACAAAGATTTAGGTTATGAAACTTCACCTTCAGATTCAAGATCAGACTACCAACACCAATTCAGTATACTAACACGCTACTCTTGTGAACCAATGCTAGGCCGAATCGAAACACGAATGTTGTCTCACTCTCGTGACGCTACCAATCCCCATCAATAAGTACGAGTAGTCTTGACCTTCAAAGTTCTTGATGTGGTAAATACGTTGGTGTATGCAAGTAAGATTATACACTGTTAGAAATGTTATTATTTGTTATTATTATTTGTAATCCTAAGTCTAGTCATACCATGTATTAGAATAAGTCTAATATGACTAGGCTATTAGTTAGGAGATAATAGTGGCTTAGTTTAATATACTCTCCTGTATCTCTATTCTGTTTGAACTGAATAACATTTGTTTCTCTAATCTGGTATCAGCCAAACGTCGATCCACTCTCTCTCTCCTTTGTTTCTCTGTTTCGACACACTACCACCGTAAACCTCCCACCACCACCGCAATGTCGTCCAATTCCTCCGAGAGAACAATGTCCGCCGGCGGTGGCTCATCCCCGTCCGGTAACAATCCCCTTACGGGCGCTCATCACTTCATCTCTATGAAGTTAACGTCCCGAAATTTCTTATTTTGGCGTACCCAGCTTGTTCCGTTTCTTCGCGGACAGGACCTGCTTGGCTTTGTGGATGGCACCTCACCGTGCCCGCCTCCCACCATCGCAACAACGACCGGCACCTCCGATTCCGGAACAACAACGGCGGCCCTAACTCCGAATCCGGCGCACAAAGCCTGGGTTCAACAGGATCAGTCGATCCTTTCCCTTCTCATCTCGTCAATGTCTGACGAGGTTCTTCACCTGGCTGTTGGGCGCAACACGGCTGCAGAAGTATGGCAATCCATCTGCACGGCTCTCGGCTCCAGTACCCAAGCAAGATGCCTGAGCTTGCTCGGGCAGTTTCAGTCCTTGCGGCAAGGAGGCACGCCGACATCGGACTATCTCGGCAAAGCCGAATTACTTGTGGAAGCTCTCGCACAGGCTGGGCAGCCCCTCTCCCTACGCAAACAAAATCTTTATGTTCTACGGGGGTTGCGACCGGAGTATCGTGCCTATGCCGCGTCCCTCACCGCCAATACGCCGATATCTCTGCCGCAATTGGCGGATTATTTACAGGCCGCGGACTTCATTCTGGCCGATGACTATCTGCAGGTTGGTGATGGCGTTCCAGCAGCGTCACACTCAGCCATGTACGCAGGGCGTGGACGCGCTGGGCAAGGCAGCGTGCAGGGCAATCACGGCGCTTCGGGCAGTGGCGGACGCCGTGGTCGCGGGGGCCGGAACAGCAACGGTGGACGCGGACGTGGTGGCCGGGGACATCCATGTTGTCAGATTTGTCGGGCAACGGGGCATACCGCAATTTATTGTTATAAGCGGTATACCACTCAACCCCCGGCGCAGGCAAATGTAGCGGTTTCGGGCGATGTACCTTCGATTCCTGTACCACCGGCCGATGCATGGTATCCCGATACGGGTGCCACCGCGCATGCCACACCGGATGCCGGGATGTTGACAAACTCGGAGGACTATGATGGTGCTGACACTCTCAGAGTTGGAAACGGGGCAGGTTTGGCGATCTCACGAATAGGCCATACATCTATCCCATCTAAATCTAAACACTTATTCCTGTCAAACGTGTTACATGTTCCCACATTAACTGTCCCGTTATTATCTGTACAAAAATTCACTAGTGATAATGCGGTTTATTTTGAGTTCCATAACAATTGTTTCTTTGTGAAGGATTCCAAAACCAAGGCCATACTTCTTAAGGGGTCTACAGCTGGCGGTCTGTACAAGCTTCCTGTGTCACGGAGTAAGTTTGCTTTTGTCACTTCTCGTGCAACGCCCGCAGTCTGGCATCGCAGGCTCGGACATCCTCATGTCGTGGTTCAAAATAAAATTCTACAAAGCTGCCCGGTTGAGTCAAATAATGTCAAAAATATTGAGTCATGTAAGGCTTGCCATCTCGACAAGTCATCTCGTTTTAAGCTAGAAAATATTTCAAGTTCGAGTCACAATGTATTAGACTTGCTTTATACAGATATATGGGGTCCCGCACCTGTAGTCTCGTCTAGTGGTTATAGGTACTTTGTACTATTCGTAGACGATTTCACCCGTTTCTGCTGGTTTTATCCATTACGGGTAAAATCAGACATTTATAAAGTTTTTGACGTTTTTCGTGTGTTGGTAGAGCGGCAATTTTCGCGCTCTATCAAATCTATTCAGTCCGACTTAGGGGGTGAATACCGAAAATTAAGTGTCACGTTTCAATCTTTAGGTATTAATCACAGGCAATCGTGTGCTTACACGCACGAGCAGAACGGGAGAGTTGAACGCCGTAACCGCCATATTGTGGAAACCGGGTTAGCTCTCCTCGCCCAAGGCAACGTCCCGCAACAATATTGGGATTTTGCTTTTGAAACTGCCACTTGCCTAATCAATTACCTACCAACCAAAGTTCTAAATTTTGAAAGTCCGTACTCACGTCTCTACAAAAAGCCTCCACCATATCAATTCCTTCGTGTCTTCGGGTGTCAGTGTTACCCCTATCTTCGGCCTTATAATCGGCACAAGATAGAGTACCGCTCCACCCCTTGTGTCTTCCTAGGTTACCTACCGTCCTATAGGGGGTACAAATGTATGGATCTATCTAGTGGGAAAACCTATATATGCCGCCATGTGCGGTTTGACGAATGTGTGTTCCCTTTTACAGGTACAATGCAACAGGTCCCGTCGCCCAATCCATTACCATGGGCTTCTGGTCCTGTTGTCCCGCTGCTACAAGCTCCTGTTCGTGAAACTGGGCCACCTCCTGAACCTGAGCCGGTCCCACTTGCTCAGGAACCTCCTTGCTTGGCCATCACTCACACTGCACCACCTCGGGCTTGGAAACGTGCTCGGGTACACCCTCCGGAGCGAGGGCATGTCATGCGACTTCGGCACATGACTCGATGCACTCCTGAGGTTTTTCAGGCCCTTACGGCGTCGCCAGATCCGACGTGCTATTCTCAAGCAGTTGGGCATCCGCAATGGCGGGATGCTATGGACCAGGAATTCAATGCCCTGCTCCATAATAATACGTGGAAACTTGTTCCACCGGAGCCGACTATGAATATAATCGGGTGCAAATGGGTGTTCCGTACCAAACGCACCGCTGACGGCTCTGTTGAGCGCTACAAAGCCCGGATTGTAGCCAAAGGCTTTAATCAAGTGGCCGGGGAGGATTTTTTCGACACTTTTAGCCCCGTGGTGAAACCCACTACGGTCCGAATCCTGTTCTCTCTTGCAATCTCTCGCCAGTGGACTCTGCGACAATTAGATGTCCACAACGCCTTTCTAAACGGCCACCTGGCTGAGACTGTATACATGAAGCAACCACCTGGGTATGAAGACCCGACTCATCCTGGTCATGTTTGCCACTTGCAACGCTCCCTATATGGCCTAAAATAGGCCCCCAGGGCGTGGTTCAAGTGGCTTCACGATTTCTTAATATCTGCAGGTTTTTCATCATCCAAAACAGATGTCTCTCTTCTACACCACTTCTGGCAGCTCCAAAGTTTATCTACTAGTCTATGTAGATGATATCATTGTAATGGGGCGTGATGCAAGAACTGTGGATACTCTGCTTACTCGACTTGCAACTACCTTTAAAATCCGGGACCTAGGCAAGCCGAGTTTCTTCTTGGGCATCGAGACTATTGACACTGAAGGGGGTTTGGTACTATCTCAGCGGCGATACATGACAGATCTTCTCGGCTGTGCTGGGATGACTGACTGCAAGCCCCTCACTACTCCAGCTGCCGTCACCAAACCGGTAACCCCGTCAGATGAACCGTTTGACAATCCCACACAGTATCGTCGGATAGTAGGGGCGCTTCAGTATCTCACTATTACGCGTCCGGACCTCTCCTTCTCAGTCAACCGATTGTGCCAGTTCATGCATGCACCGACTGTGGACCATTGGGCCTTGGCTAAGCGTGTGTTGCGCTATATCAAGGGTACTCTTGCATATGGATTACGGATCACGCCCTCACCGACTACTACTATACATGCATACTCAAATTCTGATTGGGCCGGTTGCCCTACAGACAGAAAGAGCACAAGTGGTTACGCAGTGTTTCTTGGGGATAATCTCATTTCTTGGCAGTCCAGGAAGCAACGCACTGTAGCCCGCTCGTCTACTGAAGCTGAGTATAAAGCCTTAGCCGACGTTGCGGCTGAGGTGACCTGGGTTGTATCTTTGCTCCGTGAGTTAGGCCTGCATGACAAGCAACCTTCCAGCATTTGGTGTGATAACTTGGGTGCCACGTATCTTTGTGCTAATCCAGTTTTTCACGCACGGACGAAGCATGTCGAGATCGACTACCATTTTGTTCGTGACAAGGTTGCAACCGGGGAATTCATTGTCAACTATGTTTCAACCAAGGATCAGCTCGCCGATGTCTTCACCAAACCGCTTCCAGGACCGCGTTTTGCAGCTCTACGGTCCAAGCTCAATGTGGTTTCTCACCTACCTTGTGCTTGAGGGGGTGTGTTAGAAATGTTATTATTATTTGTAATCCTAAGTCTAGTCATACCATGTATTAGAATAAGTCTAATATGACTAGGCTATTAGTTAGGAGATAATAGTGGCTTAGTTTAATATACTCTCCTGTATCTCTATTCTGTTTGAACTGAATAACATTTGTTTCTCTAATCTACACGTAGGTAAGTGAGCTCGGGTAGTTACACAGTAAGTTGGAGGTTTCCGAGCGTGAGTGTGTTGCTAATGAGAAAGGGAAAATTTGTAAAAGGAAAAAAAAAGGTAAAAAATAACCCGAACATTAAATAAAAACTTAAAGAAAAAAGAAGATAGAGAAAGAACTATATATTTCTGACTAAATTGAGTAAAACCACTATAGTCGATGACTATATTGGATATTAACTCGATAGATAATCAAAATACCACACTCAAACATAAAGTCAAATGATTGTTCTCTAACTATAATTGTCAAAAAATCATTGTCTAAAACATCAAATATGAAGTCTTAAACATATGATAATTTAAACTTAGACATATATAAAAATATGATTAATCTAAACTCAAAAATTCAGATTGCACATAAACCAAAAAAACATAATTGTGAAAAAATCATTGATTAATCTTAAATATAACAATATGGTATTCAAATTGCACATTAACAAATCAGACTTGACCGAAAAATTACATCAAAGCACTATATATATATATATATATATATATATATATATATATATATATATATATATATTAAGCGAATTAGCACATTAATATGAAGGATCATGTAATTAAAAAATTTATAATATTTATTAGTCCTAACACACAATTATACATAATTGATGCATATTGAACAGAAAATTCAGAAAATAACTTGAATTGTAGCAGTAAAGAGGTTGAACTTCACATACAAATCAAATAAAATCATAGCAATAATATATTGTATATAAAAAATTAACAACATCAGTAATATATTTATATAAAAAAAATTAACTAGATGGCCTATTAGCTCAGTTGGTTAGAGCGTCGTGCTAATAACGCGAAGGTTGCAGGTTCGTGACCTGCATGGGCCAATTCTTATATTTTTTCATATTTACCAATAAATAAAATTCCATCAATAATAATAATAATAAAATTCCAATAAATCGTTTGGGCTGCTTTCATTCTGAAATGGGTCAGTTCGACTCTTTTGTGGACGATTAATTCAGAAGATGTAAGCGATATGAAAGGCCCGGCCCGAAATTTGCGCGCGGAGGGCGATTCGCGCCTTACAACGGTAGCGATATTTTGGCGCGTAGTGGTCTTCCCACAACCTGCAGTCCTCCACCTATCTCTAACGGACCAAACGCTATCACAAATACTATACTTACAAAATAAAAATATAATTATCTCAACATCAATTAGATTTATATAACACTTTATTTTTTATGTATAATTTGTGAGTTATTATCAAATAAAAATAAAATTTATTTAGTGTACATCATTAAGTAGTTGTTATGTGTTTCTCTTCACTCAAAAGATATTAATAATTAATTTCATATGAAATTCTTGTATATAATACTTTCCAATATAAATATAAATTCTGTTATGAATCAACGAAACTTATACTTTCACTAGTACTTTTTCATGATATATTTATTTCACGTAAAACAGTTTCACACAAGTTATGCAATATCATATCAATTCCAGTATTAGTTCCTAAACTGTTACATATTTTTAAATTTATAATTCTTGAGTTTACAATTAAATTTAATTATTTTTAAATTTGATGAGTAAAAGCAATAAAGTCTATAATCTCTAACCTACACCTTTAAACTTTCCATTATAAAATTTTATAAAGAAAGGGGGAAAAAGAAAGTAAATTCAAAGCATCAATCAAAAAAATCATAGAAGTTTTGAGGTTGAGTAGTAAAGAAATCATAGGACTTTGATTACAGCTAATCCTAATCAATAATGGCATCATTAGATGAAGATTGAAAAGGTACTTTGGAGTTTTGTCCATATTTATATGACAACACAGAGAAAGAAGTGCTTGTGCTTCCCTCCATATCTGTATCCGAACCAAATTCCCAACCTCAACCTCAACTCCACACCACACCACTTTCCCTCGTTTTCTTCTTCTCCTCTCTCTCTCTCTTCCCGCTTTTTCTATTCCCAGATCTCATCTCCTCACATCTTCTGCTCTCCGATTCCCTTCTCTATTCTCCTCTCATTCAATTCCCCTCACCCAAAATCGCTTTTTTAAACCCTTTTCTTTAGAGTTTTAATGAATTTGTACTTCCCTCCACAAAGTTGAATTGACAAAAAAGAAAAAGAAAAAGAAAATCAAGAATCGAGAAGAAGAGCTTCTTGTTTTACAGAGAGGATCATGCAGCAGCAGCAACAAGCAATCAAGCGGCGGCAGCAGCTGCCCTTCACGGCGGCGAAGCCGCCCTTTGGGGACTACCACCGATTCGCCGCTCTCCCTCCTCAAGCACCGGAAGGCATCGTTGTCAAGACTCCGGTGAGCCTTCCAGTTTTTGCTCCCCAGATTGACTGTATTTTTTCTTGGACTGTAGTGACTGTTTAATTTAAAGTGGTTTTTGTTGGAATCTGCAGCAATGTTTTTCAGTCTAACTCTGTATTTGTTTTCTTGATTGAGACTTTGTGACAATGTGGGATCTTTCTAGTTGAATTGTTGCTATCATGCTTTCTTTTTTTGGTTAATCTGTAAGCGATTGTGTGATCCCTGTACTGACCACAAAGTTTGCACCTTTTTTTTGTTCATTCAGTGATGATCACAATTTATGTATATTCTTTTATTGGTGACTTGAGCCACACTGATTTTGGTTTATGTAATTTGTTTTCTAAACCTAAGTGCCAGTGAACTGTATGTTAATATACTATTGAGATCATTCTACACTTGATGACTTATTCTTCCATCAAAGTTGCTTTCAATGGCACTGCTGAGTGACATGAAGTAAAGGGTGATAGCTATTTTACTTTCCTAATCCTATTATTGTTCTTTCGGTTTGACCAGCCTTTGAAGCGGAAGAACGAGACAGCCAAGAACAGTCTGGGTTCTGGATATTATGGTGCCAATAGTCCGTTTCAAACACCTGTTTCAGGAAAAGCGGGAAAGGCTCAGAAATCATCTAGGACATCAAAAGCCAACATATCTGCATTTCAAACTGCTGGGAATGCTGGTAAGTTTACTACACAGATATCGGTTTTTGGATATCAGATCGATGGGAGAAAGTAACTTTAGCTGTTCTGTATCTACAGAATCCCCTTCTAGCAACAATGCCACTCCAATTGGTCCTTGTCGGTATGATAGCTCCCTAGGTAATCAAGTGCTTTCTTGATTGTGGATGTTTCTAGTCGTGTTCATTTATATTCTTGGGTTGCTTGTGGTATTGAATTGAGGTACCAAAGTAAATATTGACAGTATCATTCGACTCTCACTCAGGCCTCTTGACAAAGAAGTTCATTAATCTGATCAAACATTCTGAAGATGGCATTCTGGATCTAAACAAAGCTGCTGATACACTAGAGGTGATAAAAACTTTTCTTGGTTCTCTTTATATTTACCTGATGAAGTTCTACGAGCTAAAAACTGAAACAATTTTTATTCTTCAATCAGGTGCAAAAGAGGCGTATCTATGACATCACGAATGTCCTGGAAGGCATCGGCCTAATAGAAAAGAAATTAAAGAATAGAATTCAATGGAAGTACGATAATGCCTCTCAAATCTTTAATTTTTTTTAAAAAGACAAAAAAGCTAATGCTAAACTTGCCTCGAGGCTTTTTCAGCAAATGAAAAGTGGCTAATAAAGTGAATTGGTTACACAGGGGCCTAGATGTGTCAAGAACGGGAGAAGATGAAGGTGTTGCAAGCTTACAAGTGAGCGTCATTACTCTTTTCTTTATTTTCTTTTGATAATTTAATTGATTTGTTCACCTGTACTGTGCTCCCTTTTGCAGGCAGAAGTGGAGAACTTGACCTTGGAAGAACGTAGAATAGATGAACAAATCAGGTTCTATTATAAAGATAAAGACTTTAGGATATATATTTGAAATTACTGTGATTTAACCATGATTGTGCTGACGCTATGCAACATTAACTTATTTTAGAGAAATGCAAGAAAGATTGAGGGACCTGAGTGAAGATGAAAACAATCAAAGGTACCTCTTCTTTAACGTATTCATCAGCTCTGTAGTTTCATTTTCAAATAGGTTCTTAATGCATTTAATTGCTCATTCTTTTTCGTTCTTCTGTCCTGCAATTTTCTTCTATCAGGTGGCTTTTTGTCTCTGAAGAAGATATTAAGAATATACCGATTTTTCAGGTATGCATAGTTTGTAACTGCACTGCTTCTATTGTGTCCTATATGCTTATATTACTCAACTGTGCTAAAACAAAAATCTAAATTTTGTCAGGATCAAACACTAATAGCAATTAAAGCTCCACATGGAACCACATTAGAAGTCCCGGATCCTGACGAGGTTCTGGCTACACTTATTTATGGGTTCTTTTCTCGCTTCTTTTATCATTTAGTCTCTTATTTTCTTTATTAATTTTGGCAGGCTGTTGATTATCTTCAGAGGAGGTATAGAATAGTTCTTCGCAGCACCATGGGGCCCATAGATGTTTATCTTGTCAGGTACATGTGCTTCTTCCTAGAACAATAGACTTTACATTATGAAACCTGGGGACTGTATTCAATGCCAGATAGAGGGCCATAGCATTCAATTTCTCTTTAAAGACACTATATTTCTGTGAAGTGATTGAATATCTGATCAAAGTCTCTGCCTTTTTTGGCTGAACTTCAATTTTTTAGTCAATTTGAGGAAAAGTATGAGGAGATGGGTGCAGTTGCAGCACCACCAAACAACCCTTCGACATCAGGTGCCGATAATAATGCCACTGCAAAATTGGAAATTGAGAAGAGCAGAGTAAATGAAGTAGAGAGGCAGGAAAATGAAACAGAAACAATCCCCTCGGATCTTGGTACCTCAGAGGATTTCATGGGTGGAATCATGAAAATCGTTCCCGATATTGATGTAAGTTTTCACTATCTTTCATGTGAGAACACTTGAGTTATGTTGGTTTCCAGATTCTAACGTTTTTCGTTTCTGGCCTTCCCAGAATGAAACAGATTACTGGTTCATGTCAGATCACACTGGAATCACTGCTATCTGGGAAGACTCTCACTTAGCCGACTTAGCCAGCTTTGACTGGAGTGACTTGATAACAGTTAATGAAGATCACGCTACAACTAATGTCAGTACTCCACACGCCCAAACTTCACCTCCCACTTTCCCCGAACTGCCTTGTGCAACTAATACTACCATAAGCTGAATGTTATCTGCTGGCAATTCCCGGTGACTCAAAATAACGGTTGCTCCAAGTATATAAAGATTCTTACTTTATTATTTCTCTTGCCCCCCTTCGAACGAGTCTGAATAGAGAAGGAATTGTATCCATTCTATGCATTTCTAGAGGGAAAGTTGCCTTGAGGCTGGGAATGAAACATGTATCTGAGTCTTCCTGTACAGTGATCTATTACCTTGTAACTAGCAATAAGATTAGTTTTAGGAGATTTCCCAGTTTAGCTCTGTATTATCTCATCTTGTACCTTCAAACTGTTAAACATGACAAATTCAATTATAACTTTCTCTAATGAATGTTTCTACCACAAGTTGAATGATTTACAGGATGCATAGTACATACATATGCATATATAAGTATGTATCTCTTTATCAAGATTACTTCTCTTTATCAACTTTCTTTTCTATCCAGCTAGCAACAATGGGAGTAAGAGCAACAGTAGGTGGAAACCTTATAGGCGACGCGGCCTTGTGGGCAGCATAAGCCAACGCGAAAGTCCCAACTTTCTCACCCGTCTCATTAGGTGAAATCCCGACCTGCAAATCATCAGAACGCCTCGTTTGTCAATTTTGAGCTTATATATATATATAAAATATAAATATGTAAGCAGTTTCAGTCGAGATCGATTATGGAATTCAAAGAGGGAAGTTCACCTTCTGTAGCAATGCTTGCACATCAACTCCAGCACTGATGAGGGCATAGCAGAGGCCAAAAGATATCAAGGAGAGAGTAATGGAGGTAGCCAGGTATGCTCCTCCATATTTTGCCAAAAGCTCCTTTGCTTGGTCCCCTTTTGACTTATTTTCCTGGTTATCTTCATCTTTTGAATTGAATATCTACAATGGTTAATTAAATTACAGTCTGATTATTATGACCAATGAATCAACCTAGAAAGACCCATCAAGCTAAACTAGCATATGCTGGCATGCTGCTATGAACAATTGTCAGAAAAGATAGGACTTTCTTGAACAGAGAAGCAGAATCCAAATACCCAAAATCTGATAGGGAAAGAAATCAAATAATCAATATTATACCATCTAAAAGATTTCCCAGACCTTAAAAAGACCCAGTTCATGATCATAATTCATAAATGAATTTTACCTTCCAGAGACCTGCTTCTAGGCCATATTTCTTGGTGACTTCCTCTGCAGATGTCTGGGATTTGATTTCCTCTGTTTTCTCCTTCACAGCCCTCACTTTGAGCTTACTGAAACTGGGCTTGGAATTTGCAGAAGAGCTTGATGCCCTGTTTGGTTTTCCAGAACTCAGGGGAGCCCCAGGAGGGGAAGAGAAGAGTGCAGTTTTAGTGTAGTAGTGAGAAGGGAGGTGCAGATGAGCGGCCATTGTTAAAAGTAGCTAAAGAACTATCTCTTCTGGTTGTTTTAACTTTGTTATCCAAACATGGCCTTGATACTTTCTTCCTGGACAGAGAGAGAACAATTTTCAGATGGAGAGAGAGACAAGTTACACTATTTCTGACCTGTGTTTATTGAACCAAACAGAGATCAGTGATTCCGATATTGGGCTTCAAAATTTTGGGCTCTCGCTAAAGTAACAGATATGTAGGCCCAAACCCCAAGTTTCCACTGTCCAAGGACCAATCATTATTATGTGGACCATGGTCATACAAGTTGTGTAGACCATATTTTGTATATTGTAAAATAATGTACATTCAGTACAAAAATAATGTACATTGTATTCAGGGGATGTACATTACATTATATTGTATAATGTACATTCAGTACGAAAATAATGTACATTTAATATATTAAAAATGTATTTTTTGTTATGGTCCACATAACAATGTGTGGACCATAGTCCACACAATAATTTGCCCTAATGGACCCCAAGTTTTCATTGTCCATTTAAAGGGCTTATACATCATAGGGAGTGTCTGGTAAATAGTTGTTAGATGATTGAGTTAGCGAGTTTGATTAGTTGATAACATTAGTTGATTGTAGAAAGCTGTTTGATAAATTGGTTGTTAGTTGATAGTTGATTACATGCAAAATGACTTTCTCAAAAAATTTATTGAAAAAGTTACTTTGAGCAGTTTTTTGAATTTTACCGTTTTGGAGCAATAAGCTGTTACAAAAAGCTAATTAATTAAACACTTATTTTGACTGTTTAACCAAATCAAACAACTAATAGTGATCAAATAAACCAAAATTAGCTTATAAACTAACTATGTTACCAAATAGGGCTTATATCGTCGATCACTAACACACAAGTTCATTTTTATTGTACTACATGTTCATTTTTAGTATATATATTATATTTTGAAATATGTTCATTTTTAATGTACATTCTAAAATACATTAAAAATAAACTAAAAATGCAAAAATTATATTGTGCACAAGGGTCCACCTTACATGGTGGACATAATAAAAAAATGAAGTCTTAATGGCACCAACCAATTCATTATATTTAATAACATTAATCTTGTATTATGTTCATATTGTTTTTTTTTTTTTTTTTTTTTTTTTTTTGGAAAGATGTTCATACTGTTTTTATATGTTCATAAAAACAAAGCTTAATGTACATAATAAGATACGTTATATCTATTTCTATTCACTTTGTAGTAAATTCATAACGTTTCTTTTATATGCCATAAAAATAAAGCTTAATATACATAAACAATACACTGCAGACACATTATGTTTAATCAATCGTTATGCTATGGACCCGTGTCCAGCATGCATGCTGGACACGGGTAACAGTGCCGTTAGGCACTGTTATATCTTTTTTTTAAAAAAAAAAATTACAGACTGCTTCGTTATAGGAGTATATGTTCATAATTTTATTACTATATGTTAATAACTGTACATTCATAACTCCATAACTGTACATTCATAACTCCATAATTGTACATTCATAATTTTCGAAACTCTATGTTCACAATTTTAGAGCTCTATGTTCATAATTTTATCACTATATGTTCATAGGGGTGTTAGCGAACAGAGCTTTCGGCAAACTACTCGTGTTCGTGTTCGGTAAGCGTTCGTTTATGTTCGTTTGTTAAGGTAAATGAACATTAACAAACAAAATTTAGAGCTCGGTTAATAAACGAACAGAGCTTGAACAGTTGTAAGCTCGTTTGCTAAGAGATCGTGAACAAGTTCGTTTGTGTTCATTTACTAATGTTTGTGAACAAGCTCGTTTATGTTCGTTTAATAATGTTCGTGAACAAGCTCGTTTGTGTTCGTTTAATAATGTTCGTGAACATGTTCACAAACATATATTATATTATATTATATTACTTTTGTAGTTGTGTTGTTTGTTTGATTATTGTTCGTGAACGTATATTATTTATTGTTCACGAACGAATTGTGATCATGAACATGTGCAAGTGTTTTTTTATTAAGTATTCATGAACGTAAATGAATATGTTCGTGAACGTGCTTGTTAAAGAACATGTTTGTGAACGTGTTTGTTAACGTTAACGAACACGTTTGCGAACGTGTTCACGAACGTTAACAAACACGTTCGCGAACATGTTCGTTAACGTTAACGAACACGTTCGTGAACATGTTCGCGAACGTTAACAAACACTAACGAACGCTTAACAAACGAACACAAACAGGATTTTCAAAAACCTTAACAAACGAACACGAACACGAACACTCCAAATTCCTTAACAAACGAACACGAACAACCTCCGTTCGTTTATGTTCGGTTCGTTAACAGCCCTATATGTTCATAATTGTAAGTTCACAATGTCAGAGCTCTTTGTTCATAATTCGATCAATAACTGTACATTCATAATTCCATAACTGTAGATTCATAATCTCATAACTGTAGATTCATAACTCCATAACTGTACATTCATAATCTTCGAAGCTCTATATTCACAATTTTAAAGCTCCATGGTCATAATTTTATCACTATATGTTCATAATTGTAAGTTCATAATGTTAGAGCTCTGTGTTCATAATTTCATAATTGCATAACTGTACATTCATAACGGCATAACTGTACATTCATAATCCAAAAAAAATAATAATAACGCCGTTAACGGCAAAACACGCGCGATTTTTTTTTTTTTTAATAACTAAATGACGCGTTTTTTTTTTTTTTTTTGAAAAACGACGTCGTTTTGGACTCATTGTGGACACGGGTCCAGGGCATAATTTGCCATGTTTAATAGCATTCATCTTTTACTATGTTTACAAAATTTGCTCTATATGATTATAAATCTAAGCCTTAGTATACATAAACAGTTAAACACTAAACTCTTGATAAATCATATTATATATTTTTTTAACTCTGTAGTAAATTCATTCACAAAACAAAGCTTAATATACATAAACTTTATACTAATTAAAATATTGACTTCATGTACCTATATTTATTTTTTTTTAAAATTATCATGAAAGAGCTTTTTAATGATATTTTTTTATACATTAATTTTATTTGTATAAAAAGACAAATAAAAAATAAATTTAAGTTCGAAAAATATTTGAGTAAAAATAGTAATGTCTTGGGTGAACGTAGCAACCCTTTGAATTTCTAACTCTAAGGGTCCTCCACTACACCCTAGACCGACAGAAACATGCATGAGTTTATCTACAAATAGAATAATTGTATGCCTCTATAATTTTAATAGGTGAATTACAGATTTTTTTTTTTTAAAAAAAATCAATCATTTAACTGAATTTAATTTGTTTTAGTTCAACAATTTAGTCAAATTTTTGCAAATTACATTCTTTGATGCTATCATAATTTAATCAAATAAACCCCACCTAAGAATGACCAAAGTTTACTGTGTAATAACATAAGCTTTTGTTAATCAAGTTCCCATTATATTATCCTGCTAGTTATTTTAATATGAATAGTAATAAGATCATATAGGACTTGTATGTATTCGATCAAACCTTATTGGATGGATAAAGGGATTATTTGACCTAATTCTTCCTGAATAGGAGTAGTAGAATCCTTATCTACTTAAAATTATGATTAAGAAAGACATATAACCTATCTATGATACCAATATATAATCCCATGAGTCCATAAACTTAATGTACAAAAACCTTACTGTATAAATTTTTAGAAGATATGAATTCGACTACCAACCGGAGTCTGCTCCGCCACAGCTCCTCCTCCGGAGCAACCCAAAGTCGCCGTCGCCGCCCCCGCCCCCGCAGCCCTTCTCCAACTCGATACAAATACATTTCTTTAGAGGACATACTAACCCCTTCTTCAACTCCATACAAGTACACTTCTTTAAAGGACATATTATCCCCAACGTCGACGTGCACCGGAGACCCTAGTCTCAACCGCCGGGATGCACATCTACGGCCGACCATGCGTCATCATCGCCGGCGGAGTAAGATGCGTAGGGTCAGAGAAGTTATGTTTTGTCGCCCTTTTCGCTGCGTCGCTCGGAAGATCAGTAGTGCCTGCTCAACTCTCTCAACTTTCTTTGCTTCCTGCGCCGGCGCCGGCGCCGGTGACAGTGACAGTGAAAGCTAGCAGAAGTACTACCCATTTTGGTCATTTGCATAATCTCTCTCTGTTGATTGTTGCATGCATGGATGAAGAGTTCTTTATCAAAGGGGTAAATACAGTTAGTTTTAGTCTTAGTAAATTTGGAAGGATATTTTGTAATACAATGCTGAAACTTTCTTGTTCTTTCTAAGGTAATATATGTTTTATACTTTTTCAATTGTAGTTTCTTATTCTTTCCAAGGTAATATATGTTTTATATATACTTTCTCAATTATAGTTATACAGGTAAATTCTAATATTTTGAAAAAAAGAGAATTGTATAAATATGTGTTGGATTTTCCATAGAGAAAGAATTGGGGAAGAAGTGAATGTGAAAGTATATTGAATGAAAGATCAAAAGTGTATTACATACTCTATATATATACAAGCTAGTCAACTAACTGATTTGCAAAAGTAGAAAGCTAAACAGTGTTAACTAACAAACTAATCTCTTCAACTAACTCTTGTCTGACCTGCTGTATGTGTGTGTTGACACCCCCGTAAGCTGGAAGATACATATTATGTAGCAAATAAGATTATGGAAACTATTCCGTGCAAGGGGTTTTGTAAAGACATCTGCAAGCTGATTAGAGTTGGAGGTAGACATGTAGAAGTTTTAGGACTCCTTTTTATAGCTTTTTCCTTACTAAGTGGCAATCTAACTCAATATGTTTTAATTTGTTCTTTCATGGAACACATGGTTCTCAATTATGGCAATGGCAGATTTGTTGTCACAATAAGCTGAAGGATTTTCAGTCACCCCTAAGTCTTGCAGAAGGTACAGAAGCCATTGAAGCTCACATGCGGTAGATGCTAAAGCTCTGTATAGAGGAACTCCTTGAGATTGTGACTTGCTTTTTGGATTTCCAAGATACCAGTGAGGTGGCTCTGTATCAGAGGAGTATCAGAGGAACTCCTTGAGATTGTGACCTGCTTTTTGGATTTCCAAGATACCTCCAGTGTAACTGATCTCTTGGTGTCTGAACAAGCATCCCAGTTTGAATTAGTGAATCCCTTCCGTTGTAAAGAAGACTTTGCTGAGAAGAATCCCCATCCCTTCAGCTGTAAGGAAGAAGACTTTGCTGAGAAGAAGATACCCTGACCTGGGGCTGCCTTAATGTATCTTAGAATTCTGTGAGCTGCTTGCATATGTATGTTGGTAGGACAATCTAAAAATTGAGATAATTGTTGGGTGGCATACTTGCATATGTATGTTGGTAGGACAATCTAAAAATTGAGATAATTGTTGGGTGGCATAGCTAATGTCAGGCCTTGTGATTGTTAGATACAATAGCTTTCCCACAAACCTTCTATATTGAGAGACATCTTCAAGTTTTTCACCAATGTCTTTGCTGAACCTTGCTGAGGTAGCCATAGGTGTTTTTGCTGGCTTGCAGTCTGTACAGTCTGTAAATATTGTTTCCTCCAAGAGTTCTAATGCATATTTTCTTTGTGTCATGGAAATTCCAGAGCTATTCTTTGCAATCTCTAACCCAAGAAAGAACCTCAAGAAGCCTAAATCTTTAATATGAAAGACATTGTCTAAATGCCTTTTGATCGGCTGAACTTGATTTGGACTTGCTATTACAACATCATCAACATAGACAAGTAGGGCCACAAAATTATCTCCTTCACCTTTGAGAAATAGAGAGGAATCAGATAGAGCTTGCCTGAAACCCATATGTAACAACTCTTGAGTCAGCTTCATATTCCACTGTCTACTTGCTTATTTTAAACCATAGAGGCTTTTTATCAATCTGCACACCTGACCAGGTTTTTGAGGGGTAAAACTAGGAGAGAGTTTCATGTAGACTTCTTCAACTAGGTCACCATGAAGAACCGCATTGTTGACATCTAGTTGGTGTAGAGTCCGCATTGTTGACATCTAGTTGGTGTAGAGTCCATCCTTTAATAGCAGCCACTGCCAGTAGCATTCTTATGGTGGTTCCACTGCCAGTAGCATTCTTATGGTGGTTATTTTTGCAACAGGACTGAAGGTGTCCAAATAATCCAGGCCATGAGTTTGTGTGTACCCTTTTGCAACCAGCCTAGCCTTGTGTCTCTTTATGGTGCCATCAGCTTTAAGCTTGGTTTTGTACACCCATTTGCAGCCTATGGGTTCTTTGTTAGGAGGAAGTTCTGTCAGTCTCCATGTGTTATTGGCTTGCAAAGCATTGATTTCATCCTCCATTGTCTTTCTCCAACAACTTTCCTTTATAACTTCATTGTATATCTTGGGTTCTTTGGTTATCAGGGCATTTACTGCAAAAGCCTTAAATTTTTTAGATAACCTATCATAAGATAGAACATTAGAAATGACATGTGGGGATGTCCTTTTTACAGTGGCATTATGACAGGTGTAGTCAGCAAGATAAGTGGGAGTGGCCCTGGTTCTGGTGGATCTTCTTGGTTCCCTTACTTGGACTGGGGGTGTAGGGATTGGTTCTGTACTGAGCTCCCTTACTTGAACTGAGGTATCAGACTGAGCCTGGACATTAGTGTCCTCTTGGCCTTGATGATGATCATTTGGACTGATGACATCTTCTTGCACCTGTTCATCAATGTCTAAGTAAGTTACCCCTTCAGAGGGTAAAATAAGGTCAGTTCCCAGGCTGTTTTCATTGTCCTGTGCACTTTGTTTGTTTTGATAGGGAAAAGTACTTTCATAGAAGCAAGCATCCCTAGATAAGAACAGCTCTTTGGTGTGTAGATCATACAACTTGTACCCCTTTACTCCATTAGCAAAGCCCAAGAAAATGCATTTTCTGGCTCTTGGAGATAATTTGTTCCTTTGACAGCTGGGAATAACTGCAAAGGCTAGACAGCCAAATACTCTTAGATGTTGATACTGTGGCACCTTGCCAAAAAGGATTTGATAAGGTATCTTGTTGTCTAAAATAGCTTATGGGAGTCTTGATAATGTATACTGCATGAAGGATGCAATCACCCCAAAAATGCTCAGGTAGATGAGCCTGAATTCTGAGAGCCCTAGCCACTGCCAAGATGTGGCCATGTTTCCTTTCAATAATGCTGTTTTGCTGAGGAGTGTATATACATGATGTTTGATGAATGATACCCTTGATAGAATTCTTTCAAGAAGAATTCCTTCCCATTGTCAGACCTCACACATATAATAATTTTGCCAAATTGTGTGTTGATTAGCTCACAGAAATCTTGTAACAGCTGCTTGACCTCACTCTTGCACCTCATCAGATAAACCCAAGTAGCCCTGCTGTGATCATCCACTAAGGTGAGGAAATACTTGTAGCCATAAACAGTGGGGGTTTGATTGGGTCCCCAAATATCAGCATGTATAAGATCAAAGCAGTTAACTGAGATATTAGAGCTAGGTTTAAAAGGCAATCTTCTTTGTATGGAGAAATGACAACAAACACATACATTTGTTTTGTCATTACATATTGTATTATCAATGGAATGTAGAAATCTAATCTTGCCTTCTAAGGCATGTCCCAATCTAGCATGCCAAAAACTACAGCTATTTACAGTAGGTTTACAAAGAATGAAGGCAGTGAGATCAAGTTGGTAAAGTCCCTTCTTCAATTCAGCCACACCAATCATCCTCCCATGGAGTTGATCCTGTATAATACATTTGTTAGAGTGAAACAAGATGCTACACTTGGATCTCCTTGTAAGTTCACCCAAGGAAATTAAGTTGTAGTGAAAGATAGGCACACAAAGAACATTGAATAGGACTAGATCCTCTGACAACTGAACTGTCCCAATATGTGAAACTTGGGCTTGATGGCCATTAGGTAAATCAACAGATATTCCTTGGACCTTCTTAGGATTTTGCAATAGACTTTAACTTGCAGACAATGTGATGTGTGGCACCACTGTCCAAGATCCATAAGGATTCTGAGTCTGTTCAAGCATTGTTAGAATGAATGCCCTTACCTTCCAGTTTAGCATCTGGAATGAAATTTGCAGCTATTGCATTTGCTTGGGGAGCCATCTGGAGAGGAGAACTAATAGCTTTAGTCTACTGCATGAATTCCAAGAACCTCCTGTAATCTTCTTGATTGAAAGAGGAAGAATCAGCTCCTGCATTACTATGTTCTTATGGGGTGGACTGCACTTGATTAACAGTCCACATTCCTTTGTTTCTTGGCTTCCACCCGGGGGGGATACCCATGCTTTTTGTAACATTTCTCAATTGTATGCCCAGTATATCCACAGAAACTACACACTGGTTTATGTTTCTGTTTGTTCTCATACTTTGTGAAGAAGACTCCTGCCCCTGCTAAGCTTTCATTCACAGAACTGGAGCCTTCATGAATTTGTCTTTCTTGTTGTGCGACCATAGCAAAGGCCTCTCCAACATCAGGTAATGGTTTCATCAACATAATCTGTCTCTTAGTATTATTAAGATCATCATTTAGGCCAATAAGAAAAGATGATAGCATATCATTCTCTAATTGTGCCCTAATTTTCTCAGACATCTTGCTACCACATTCACAACTGATTGGTGTGCATTCACATGAAAGAACAGGTCTCAATACTAACAATTCATCCCATAGTAGTTTCAATTGAGTAAAATAGTCATTCACAGATGATGTACCTTGTCTTGTTCTATAAATCTCTGATTGGATTTCTGCAATGCGGAAGACGTATTGCTGGCTGAATCGTTTCTTCAGATCCCTCCATACACCCTCAGCAGTGTAATCCAGAGTATGCTTCGTCCAATGGTGTGAGACACAGCTCTAGAGATCCACGATAGGATCATTGTATTGCATTGATCTCAGTAAAAGTACTTGGGATCTGATTTGTTGGGGATTGCTAGGGTTCCATTAGCTAGAACCATCTTGTTCTTCGACCTCAATGCCATCTCCATGGCTCTTGCCCATGGATGGTAATTCGATCTGCCCTCCAATTGGACTGTCACGAGCTGTAATGAAGGACTCTCATTAGGGTGAAGGTAAAGGGGATCTGTCTGATCCTTGGGATCGTATGTTTTGAAGATCGGAGCTGGTGCTGGTGTGTTCCCTGCCTGGATGGTTGGGTTGCTTATTGCTGGATTACTTGCTGCCATTTGAGAACGATTCAGAGGTGTCTGCCAAGCCATGAGCTTAAAAGCTCTGATACCATGTTGGATTTTCCATAGAGAAAGAATTGGGGAAGAAGAAGTGAATATGAAAGTATATTGAATGAAAGATCAAAATTGTATTACAGAGGGAAACTATCTGTTCTATATACAAGCTAGCCAACTAACTGATTTGCAGAAGTAGAAAGCTAAACAGTGTTAACTAACTATAACTAACAAACTAATCTTCAACTGACTCTTCTTGACTTGACTTCTTGTTTGACCTGCTGTATGAGTTGACAATATGAAAATCAGTATTAACATATTATTTATGTTTATATGAAAAATAATAATTTCAATATGTTAGCTAATAATTTTGGGATAAAATTAATTAAATTATAAATAAATATGGTATAATTAAATAGATTATTATAATATTACTTTTAATATAATTAATTTTCCTTAAAAATTGTTAACATGACTAAAGGTGTTATAACATGCAAATTATATCGTGCACCGTGGTGTATAGCATAATGAATTATGCACCGAGCTTCTAAACGACGTCGTTTTATTTAATGAAAAAAAAATGGCACTCATTGCGCAAAAAGTAACTCTGTTATTCAGTTTCATTTTGTATACACTGCAGTTTTATTTCAACACAACTACAACACTATAGTTTCATTAAAACACACATACATTATCATTTCGATATAACTACAGATTCATTGCACAATATGCACTCAAATATGTGAAATGTTATATACACTGCAGTTTTATTTCAACACAACTACAGTTTCATTTCAATTCAATTACAGTTTCATTTAATTTGATAATATAAAAATAATATGTACTTGTATCGTCCACAGCTAGCCTCTGCATGCATCAGTATACATACACACATAACATGACAAGCTTTCTTGTCTTTAACTTTCCTTTGCTCCACTATCGACAAGGATACATATTGATGGAGAAAATTGATCCAGGAATATGACCCAGGGTATGTATTTACGGATTGCAGGGAATCAATAAATAAGAAATAAATAGGCAGGACACAAGATATTTAACGTGGAAACCAATACGGTGAAAATCATGAGCCTTTTTGGGCTAAGCCAAGCCGTAATCCACTAAGTTGTAGGCGTAGTACATGTACATAGGTGGCCATGGCCATGGAATATAAGGAAGAAGAAAGAATATATATATATATATATATATATATATATATATATATATATATATATATATATATATATATATATATATATATATATATATATATATATATATATATATAGAAGAGAAGGTTTTATGTTTGAGACTGGCGTCGGCTTCCTCTATCTTCCTGAGCCTGTATATAATATCACCTTTCTGAAATTGCAACCTCCCCTGATATTAAGGCCACGTAATGTTCCTATTTTCTTGGCCTGACTCTTTCTTCTCTGACTGCATCTTCCCTCATAAATAATAATAATAATAATATAGCACTATTATATTATTCCATCATGAGTCCCCCACTTTCTTAACCACAAGTATTTGTAGCATAAGGCCATCTCCAACCCATTACACCAAATTCTGCACTAAATTTTACACTAAAAGGAATATTCCCAGCATATTCTTACACCAAATTTTATTCATCTCCAACCCATTACACCAAATTCTATTTCTACACTAAAATAATTTGTTTTCTCATAAATTTTTACTTTAGTTTTTTTTATTATAAAATTTAATTGTAATTCAAATAACATTTTTATTCCACAATAATATAACATATAACAATTATTACATTTAATTTTCAAAATTAACATATCGTTTCCATATATGCTCAATCAACATTACGA